TTAGCCATGTAAGACAGTCCTCTGACCCAGTTGGCGGTGTTAAAGTAGGTGTCTCCCCACCAGGTGTTGCCGTCGGTGCCGGAGCAGCACCACATTCCTTTGGAGATGTGGTTGTCAAGATGGACATAAATCTGTTGCCTGCCTAGCTCGGCGGCAACGGCGTCGAAGACTTGGAGTCTGGTTGTCGAGGCGGTGAACTGTGGGTTCTTTGCGAGGACTTGGTTGAGGATTCTGGTGCCGTTGGCTTGGCCGAGTGCTTGGGTGAAGGCGCGCTGGATGGTAATGTCTTGTCCGTTGTTGGCGTAGATTTGGTCGACCATTTCGATTGCGAAAGTGAGACGGATGACGTTCATGCCGATGCTCTTGATCTTCGTGACGATGTATTCGATGGACTGGTATTGCAGACCTCCGGGATCATGACCTCGCCATGGCCGGGCCAGTTTGTGCCGGCGTACACGATGTTTTCGCCGGTTGTGTCGCGAATCTTCCCGGCGGAGGTGACAAAAGGGCCAAAGGGCCAGGATCCGGCTTGTCGGTTAGAGAGGTCATTTTGGTATTGGTTTTGGTGGCTTGGTGCTGCTTGAGTGAGGCTGGCCAGCGCCAGAAACATTGAAACAATCTTCATGATGACTCCAACGTGTGAGGAGACGAGGGTTTCTGTGGTCGTTACACATGATTGGGGCAATGCAGCATTTATCAGATGAACTCATGGCTTCTCCAACGGAGCAGAAGAACCTCGATAAATTGTGTTACATATTGAGCGGTTGATACGATGATGTCCTATACCATACCACAACGTCCCTGCGACCCGGACAGTTTCCCTTGAATAACTCCCACTGTCGTAGACAAGCACGTTTCAGGGTCTCGTGATCTCACCATCATCACCACCACAACGCTGATTCGAGCGTTTCCCGCAGGAGCTGGTCCGATATACGACGTGGTTCCTGTCCTGGGTGACATTTTATGACTGCCGGCTCCGGTATCCCCGCATGCCCTGTGGGTGATCAACGTTGAGATGACTTGAAGATAACCCCAATGAAAGGTGCCTGTGTCATAGCAGTCTTATGGGTGGTGGAAGAGGGTGACGTTGAAATTAAGCCGGGCACCCTTCTTTTGCCGAGACCGGGGTCCACTTAACCAGACCCACTTCCCCACAACAGTTCCCCGCAGAGCAAACTCCCAAAATCTCCAATTTCTCCACGAATCTCATTAATGAGATGGATATCGTGTTGTTTGAGGCGGTTCAATTTCCAACTATTTTGAGAATGCGTAAACAACAGTGCTATGCGTTATAGATAGGCTCCCATTCAACGCCGGCCACCCTTTCAAGATGCAACAACAACAATCTTACAGGTCCCTCCTCCTAAACTCGACCATACACCCATTCTTCAAGCTGGTAAATGTGTCGACCAACTGGAACTCACTCGGCTTCTCCCTGCCCATCTCCGCTCCGGGCTTGCCCTCTCCTGGATCCTCAACACCAACCGCCCGGCGAAGGTCATACATATACAGCACTCTCGCGAGGGTGATGCTCATCTCAACATACGCCAGGCCCTTCCCGATGCACCCTCTTGGTCCAATCGAAAATGGACAGAACGCGCTCTGAGCCAATGCTACCTCCTGTTCCCTAACACCGGCCTCCTTCTCGCTACCTGGAGAAGCAATCCATCTCTCTGGCTTGTAGGCAAACGGCTCGGGGTAGTAGTTGGCATTGTGGTGGATGGTATAGTGTGGTGTTCCGACAATCGTTCCCTCAGGTACCATCTCGCCGTCGATAGTCATACCGCCGGCCAAGACCTCTCTGGGCAACAGACCACCAACACTAGGCGACAAGCGCATAGCCTCATCGATGCAAGCGCGGAGGTAGTGGCAAGAGTTGAGAACGGGACCCAGTTGGATATCCTCCAGAGACGAGAACTTCTCTCTGATCTCATCTGTGACCTTCGCCAACGCGGCAGGGTTGCGGACGAGATAGAACAGAGTGGCAGCCATAGCGGTAGAGGTGGTGTCAGAGCCGGCAATGATCAGCAAGTTGGACTCGCCCCACAACTCGGGGGTGGTGAAGCCCTGTCCAGTTTCCGGGTCGCGCGCCTTGAGGAGATGGTAGAGAAAGTCGCGGCGGTCGGTCTCATCACCAAGAGCAGTGCGCTCGGTCAGTTGTGGCGCGAATAAGCCATATATTTGGCGCGACCAGCAGCGATCTTGTGGAAGAGGATCTTATCGAGAGAGAGCTTGTTGACAATGGGCATAGTGCCGCACAGGAGATGTCTCTGGGCAGCTACACCGACGAGATCAACAGCGTACCTGTTGTCTGGCCTATCCAACATGTGGAAAGCCTTGCCGAAGCATAGATCACCGAGGATATCCATGGCCAGCCAGTTGCACCAGTCGGACATGTTCTTCGGCGCACTCCATCCCTTATTATCCTGGATGGCACGGCCATAGTCGCCGATGGCCTCGCAGAAAGTGCGGATGTTGGCCAGGATGTAGCGCTCTACCTCTTTGATGGCGCCATCGGAGAAGGCATGCGACAGAACACGGCGCTTGCGAGCGTGGAGGTCCCTGTCGCGGGCGTTGTGGGTGTTGGGAGCGGGGTGGACGAAGGCATCGTAGAACTCGGCCTTCCTGACGTTGGCGCGGAAGCCGTAGATCTCCTTGAGGGCGGTGTTTGAGTTTGCACTGAGGGCGTTGGGACCGAAGCGGACGAATTTGCCATACTTCTCGTGCATGCGCCAGAACTCAAGATGGCGGTCGCCTCGCCAGGCGTAGTAGAGCATGTAGGCATCGGTGAGCTTGGCCAGGAGGGGACCTGGGTATTTCGCTAATGGGTGGAAGAAGACGCGGTAGATGACAAGACATGATGTCTTGAAGGTGGTTAGAAACTTGATTATGGTGATTGATCCGTTCACTAAGGTAGGTACTCACGTAAAGAAGGCCAGCTACTGCTAATAGCCCCAGCCAAAGCTGGACATGTGCTGCGCCAAACGCCATGGTCGTCAACGGACAACTGACAGGCAGACAATCAATGCAGGTCAAGTTGGGTCAGGATAGCACAGAGGATAGCAAATGAAAATGGGAAACAGAGGGCACATTTGTAAGAAACAGCACTCGGTCAGGATTACGCAACGGGGTCGACACCCGTGACAGTCTGGCACACCGGCATAAGAGACAGCTCCAACCAGGTTGCTCTTGTGCCGCCTCGTGATTTGCTCGTAGGAGATGGGATAGACGGCCCCGGACAGTCATGGCGGAAGCTGCTCGAATAGACGGGCTTGGGGGTTGCTTAGTCCGAAGGTTCACGTCCGTCCGTTTCCTTACATCAGGGGGGACCAGTTCGGCTTGCGGCGGCTCAAAGCAGTGACAAGAGGTCTTATCAGCTTATCGGGTCGATGGGTTGCTCTGCATGATGATGTCGACATTCCTTTTGTGGAATTTGAACCCATGTCTTCTGATCGTTCCGATGGTCCCGATCGAATTCTAGATGTGCGGAACAAGGAGCGGAAAGGGTGGACGGCCCTGAGAAGGAGGCTCGGCCGTGGGTGAGCGGCTCTTTGGGATTTACAACCTGCTTTGCACCATCGATTATTGGAGGAGGACAGTCTTGAGAGTTTTGGACATCCTGGACTGTGGAACAGTGATGCAACGTCAGATGGAATCCGGGGAAACAGAGATGATAAAAAGAGGTTGAGTCCGCCTCATCGTTTGACTACTGGGCAGACTTTGTGGCAGGATGATTGCCCTCATGTACCCTTTTTTTTTTTTTTTTTTTTGCAATACCGCTTAAAGCTTTCAAAAACCCTCGGTAGATGTCTGAAATACAATTTCCTAAGGATATCGAACCCGAAATGCATATGCGATTGAGCTCTTGATTCCGGCGAACATGTTTGTATGTAGATTCATAGCTCGGCATGCACCGGCATTCTGTGGAAAGCCGGGGTTGACCCACAGGCTTGGCCAGTGCGCTGCGGGATGTGGATTCGATGGACAGCACCAGCCACATCCACATCCAGTCTTGGGTGGCTCCAACCTTCGCCAAGCTGCAAGGCTGCGGGAAGGCTGAGAATTCATGCCACCGCGCCGCTCTCTCTACCAAACGCGTTTTTGAGAAGAGCAAGTCAGTTGCGACCAACAAACCACGACAAAACGACACAACCACGTCATGGTACAGCAATAGTATCCTACACCCTGAAACAACCGGCATCATGACAGTTTGCAAATACTTTCAGCAGGGAAACTGCCGCTTTGGAAGTAGGACGAATCACTGCCTCTCTTTTTCTTTGACGACGATCGCCTCACCACAATCGCTTTCCCTCGCAAGCACCACTGCCGAATTCACTCTCGATCGTCGTCACGAACAGTTTCCCATGAAGCAGTCGCGCTAACCTTTTTTTGTTGGCGCAATTTCTAGATAACTGCAGGTTTGAGCATCCAAGAGACGGGGGTTCGTCTCAGTCACCGTTTGGCGGCGGTGGGAACAGATTCAGCGCCCTTTCTGGAGGACAGCAGGGCGCATTTGGGGGGTCTAAACAGTCAGGTATGGATGTTAACTTGCCAGAGAACATCTCTGAGGCTCATCTAACAAATGGGATTTGTAGATCAACCCGAGTACGCCGGCCTGAACGAGGAAACGATTCGAAAAGACCTTCAGAACGAACTACCACAATGGATATTCTCCTGCTACGGCCCGGGCAAAGATGCGCCAGACAACCTGTTCGGCGGCTACCCCCGTGAGCAGCAACCAGAGGAGCTCAGGATACATTTCATGAAAGGTCAGGCAGCGGGGGAGGCAGAAGCAGCCGTAAGTCGACAGAGATCAGGAAAATGGACGCTGGGAGAATCATTTGTTAACACGATGGGCAGATGAACGAGATTATGCAACTGCATCAAGTAGCACGACAACAAATCGAACACACGCTGAGCAACGTACCCGCCGCTATCCAGCACGTTCGTGACGGGATCAACAGACATCCAAATCGTCACGACATATGCAAACAAGGAACAGCGGGCAACACTGGAACAACGTTCGGACAGCCAGCGCCAAATGCTTTCCAGAGCTCACAGCCTGCCTCGAATCCCTTCGGTGCTACCGCTCAACCCGCTGCTGGAGGTTTTGGTCAGCCAGCTGCGTTGGGTCAGAAGCCCAACCCATTCGGTGCGCCAGCCTTTGGACAGCCAGCCCAACCAGCCGCTACCCCATCACCCTTTGGGCAACCAGCTGCACCGTCGGCCTTTGGGAAGCCAGCCGCCCTGGGAGCAAGCAATCCTTTTGGGAAGCCAGCATCAAGCGGTTTTGGCCAGCCCAGCGCCCTAGGGGGTGGCAATAAGGTCTTTGGCCAAGCCGCAGCACCGGCATTTGGTCAGTCAGGATTTGGGCAGACAACACCGGCACCGAGCGCTTTTGGTCAACCAGCTGGTTTGGGCGCCACGCCAAGCCCATTTGCTGCTGCCACTGCCGCCGCGAACACCGCCCAACAGAATCCCAATCCATTTGGGCAGCCAGCGCAAAACCCATCACCTTTTGGGGCACCGGCACCCCCTGCTGCCAATGGCTTTGGCCAGCCCGCCGCAACCCCAAGTCCATTCGGAGCTCCAGCAGCGGCTCCAGCATCGAACCCCTTCGGGGCAGCTTCTCAGCCAGCACAAAACACACCCTCTCCGTTCGGGCAACCAGCAGCCCCTGCCGCCAACCCTTTCGGACAGCCAGCTCCCGCGGCGGCTGCTCCCTCACCATTTGGAGCACCCACCGCTCCAACGGCTACTCCCTCGCCATTCGGAGCTCCTGCCGCCACGACTGCTGCCCCGAGTGCGTTTGGCCAGCCCGCTACTGCACCAGCACCCAGCCCCTTTGGCGGAACCACCGCTACGGCCCCTCAGCCTACTCCGCAGCAAGGGGGGGGACCATATGGCCCTGGCGCCACTCGCAGCCATCCCCCTTTGTCGTCATATGCCTCAAAGAACCCCGACAACACCCTTGGGATGTTCAAAGGCAGACCCGTCATGTATGAAGTGGTCAAAAGCCAGGGGGAGAAGCCTATTCCGGTTATCAGGGGGTTTGACGGGTCGATTCAGAAGATTTGGAATCCGAATGGTGCGCCGAATTACACGGCTGAGACGGAGGCCGAGCCAGAAAAGTACAATGATCCAACGGTGCAACGTCAATGGATGATGTTTGTAGAGACGGGAAGGTTTGAGAACGGGATCATGCCGGAGGTACCGCCAAAGAGGGAGTTTTGTGTTTGGGATTTCTAAAGCGAAGGATGGCATAGGGTTGTATAATCAATGGAGACAAAACGGCATGGTTGGGGGCGTTATGGGGGAGTTGTATATAGCTTCTTTTCTTTCTACACTAGCGCAAAAAATGCAACTGTTTAAACGATATTGATTGCCAACTGATGTTCGTTGACAAGGTGTCTTAACCAGCAAAACCACCCCTGGCCATCTTTTTCGCCCGTTGATCACGTCTGTTGTGGTTGGCTCGGCTGCCCTTGTTGGCTTCTTTTCTCCGTCTGGCGGCATCATCTTGGGGTCCCGACTCTCCAGATTGCTGAGCACCACCCCTTCCACCACCACCACGTCCACCTCTTCCCCTGTTTCCACCACGTCCCCTACCGCCCCTAAACCCACCTCCTCTCGAAGGCCCATCACCATCCGTATCATCCTCTCCCGCAACCCACCCCGTCCTCTGGATCTCAACCTGCTCACCACTCCACTCGCCATACCTTTTCTGCAGCCTCTTCTGCAGGTTCACATCCCGCTGCAGCATCACCGCCCACCCCTCAACCTGCTCATCGCTCATGCCCGTCTCGGCCCTGAGCCTGATCCTCTCGGCGTGCTGCCTCGATTCCTTGTCCCGGGCGAAGAGCTTGGGGTTGGCCTGGTAAGTACGGAAGAGGTGCGCCTCCGCCCCGTCGGGGAGGATCTCGTCCCCGAGGGAGGTGTCCACGGTCCCCCCTACGTCTGCGGCGTCGTAGGTGTCGTCGCGTTCGTCGTCGTCTGAGTCGAAGGCGGCGAGGGCGGAGAGGATGGCTGCTTTGGCGGGGGCGGTGGATTTATCTCTCAGGAGGGAGTCGGCGGTACCGGGTTTTTTGCCGAGGTGGAGGGTGCCGGTTAGGAGGGCGAGGTCGTCGTCATCGTCGTCTCGGGCAGGGGGGAGAGGGGGGGAGATGGGGGG